AGTCATCGGTTCCCTCACTGATCATTAATGTCAGTGTGTTTTATTTCCAAAGATTCTTTAAAAAAATTTTTTTTGTAGTTGTAGATGAACAGCATGCCTTTATTTTATTTATTTTTATGTGGTGCTGAGGATCAAACCCAGCGCCCCACACATGCAAGGCAAGCGCTCTGCCACTGAGTTACAGCCCCAGCCCTCCACAAATTCTTAATAATCACTTTTTCAAATCTTGTCATTTAAAATATTTCCTATTCCTTGTAAATGTTTTCAAGTTTTATTTGAATTTAAAGAATGTTATTTTGTAGCATTTCAATTTCAGTGTCTAAATCCTATGTGAATCTTTTTCCCCCCTATTCTCGCTAAACGTGTCTTATTTCCTTGTGTGTTTAACTTACTTTGGGAGCTGTTCATATTCCTTAGGAGATTATTTCGGGAATTCTGAGACTTACAATGAAAGTATCCTTTCAAGAGAGGGTTTGCTTTAACTTCTATCAGGCACACAGGGAACTCTGCTTGTTTTGTTCATCTAAGTGCATAGGTTAGGTTTTTGTAATATGCAGGGTATATGAACTTGAACTGCAAGGACCAGCTTGCGGTGACAATTTGTTAGATTTAACTAGCCAGTGCTAGAGCAATTTTTCTTAGGTTCCCTAAGGAACTGGAGGTAGACTTACTACTGGTTTAAGGATACCCCTTAAAGGAATGTCTTTCTGTTTAACATGTCTAGTCAGGCCCTAAAAACTGAAGCTCAGTCCCTAGGGTTCAATTCCCAGTACAAAAAAAGAAAAAAAAAAAAAGAAAAAGAAAAAGAAAAAAAAAAAAGAAAAATTTAAAAATACTTTAGAAGTGTTTATCTTAAATCTCATTCATTTATTCAACAGACATTTGAATGTCTACTCTGTGCTGATGCAGAGGACACAGATAATTGCCCCATTTTAGGGACAGTCGTGGATTATAGCAGTGCTACTGTAGAATACACTCAATGCCTATGGCATAAACACGAGGCAAGGCAGTAATGGGGAGGAGACCAGAGCTGGTATTATGAAGGGAGTTATAGAATTTTTAAAAAATCAGAAAAATTGTTTTTGATTATTTTTTCTAAAGAATGACTCATTTTTCTCCGGATCGAACACAAATCAATATAAACCACCTTCAGGTGGGATCTGACCTCTGAGTTCATAGAGAAAAACCAAAGAGTAAGTTTGCACCCATCCTCTTCTTTCTTCTACAACAGAAGATGCACCTCCTCCATTTAACGGCAGTCCCCCCTCTCCAGTGTTTTGGATCCTAGTTTTCTCCTCCCTCTGGAATCCAAACCATCATAGGTCCCTTTTGTCTTATTCTCAACAACTCCCTCTTCCCTGGGCCCTTTTCCAAGATAAAAGCAGCATCTAGAGAGAGAGAGAGGGACACACTATTCTCCTTCTTCCTTTTATACCCGACTCACAGTTGTGTAAGGTAGCTTCTTTCTGACATTTGCCTTCTCTACTACCTAAATTGCCTCTAAGACACCAATTATTTCCAGGTGGCTAAATCCAGTAGCTGTTTTAAATTCTTCAGTCTATTTTATCTCTCAGTAGTCATCAACGCCTGAGCTGAAAAATTCTTCCTGTGGCATTTGTTACTTTACTCCTAATTTTCCTTTCACCTCATTAGCTATTGCTTGTCAGTCTCCATTTTCTGCTCATGCTCTGTCACTGAATCTTCAAGAATTACTCATGGTTTGGTCTTTTTTTTTTTTAATTGTAAATTGGCAGATTTTTTTCTGCACCAGACAGTAAATTATTTTAGGCTTTGCAGGACATATTTTGTATTGCAGCTACTCAACTCTGTCAGTGTAGCATGAAAGCAGCCAATGACTGAAACAAAATGAATGGCTTCTGGCTATGTTCCAATAAAAATATTTACAAAAATAGACAGTGGACTGGATTTGGCCTGTGCTCTACACTCTCCCCAGGAAGTCTCCTTTACTGTGCTTCTAATGAGCACCTATGCAAAGACATACCTGGAGATCTTTCAGGCCCCAATTCTTTATCTCCAATCACCTACTTACTATCTAGACTTAAAATGTTTTCCAGATATCCCAAACCTTAATAGAGGAATTGTGCTCTCGTCTCTTAAATGTGGTATCCTCCCCCAGTGTGTTCTAGTAAAAGGCACCGCTATCCATACATCTGCGTAAGGCAGAAAACAGCAATCACCTTGATACTTCCTCCTTTTTCTTGAACTGGGGAAAAGTTAAAAAAGGTCTGTAAATGGCATTACTTGAAGCACACAGTCAAATTTAACATTTCACTAATAGAGCTAAACTTTATTTCCATGTTATTACATGTTTATCTTTGATGTTGAATACATATTAGAATTGATTTAACATACAACTTGGGAGAAAATTTGACATTCTCCTCTGAATGGATTAAAAAGGAATGTAAAACTACAAAATACTTGTTTAAGTGTGAGTTCTAAATTATGGTAAACAGAACAATAAATACTTTGCTAGTTTTCTCTTTCTAGTTTTCCAAGATGGATTTCATTATAAAAAATTTTCATAACAATTTATTTCAAGAAAGGAAATAAGGGACAATCATAAAAACCATTTTTAAGTATAGGGTACAAATAAATTAAAGAGTCTTAACACAGAACTTCTACCTTCTAATTAAAATTATGAAATTGAGGGGGATTTGTTAATATCATTAATGTCATCTAATGATTTAAGCCCAGGTATGTAATTTGCTTTTGTAAGAAAGAGGCTGATTTAAGGGTGACACCAAGCACAGTTCTATTTGACATTCATGTTAACCATTTGGTACTCAGAATGGGCATGGCCAAATATTAAGTGCTCAGTGACAGAAATTCAGAACCAATTGATTTCAAGTGGCTCAGATAGAAGAGAATTAATCATTCCACCTCCTGCTTTATGGTTACGTACAGACAGCTTTTAGCATTCATTGAAAGTATCAAGACAAAGCTCCTCTAGATATTTTGAGCTACTGAAATTCAAAGAACAAAGAATACTGCCTGTAGCATAATTCCAATGTTCAACATGGACAAAATTATGGTGGTTACTGAAGTTGTTAATGATTATAAATTCAGTTTCTTTTAATTCTCTATAAGCCCCTTAGGACATTTCTGAAAAAAGGTATGCAGTGTCTCTAATACTATTAGTCTTTACTTAAGTACATTGTCATTAAAATTATTTTGTATCATGGGATTATAGAATGGAGACTCTTTATTAAAGTGAATGATGCTTTTGTTTTCCCTTAGAATCAGCTGCAAAAAGCTATATTCTTTCTAATGTCACTTACAAAAGACACTGAATAAAATATAACTCATCTTTCCTTAGATTGTTCTAGTGATAAAACATTTTCTCATCTAACTATTTAAGACAGATCATTTATGGCTTTTCAATTTTTAAAATTTCACACTTAATGTCATGTTGTTCAAGCTTTTCTACATCAGTCTTCTAGTATCAGATTCTTAAATCAGAAAGGACAAAAAGAGAGTAAAACTTCATTATCAATTATTTAGCCTCTTTTCCTTGAAAATCAATATTTCTCTTAAAATGCAAGGCATCCTCCTTTTCTTAGGACATGGGCCAGAAAACTTTGTTAGTTTGTGTAAAGGGCCATATTACAAACATTTCAGGCTTTGTGAACTTTGTGAACCATTTGGTATCTATCACAACTACTCAGCTTCTGTGTTGTAGTGGGAAAGCTCTCCAATGATAGGGAATTCCAAAAAAGGGAGCAGTCTACTAAATTTGGCCTCTGGGACAGAGTTAGCAAATCCCTGCCTTAGAACAAACTTAAATATATGAGAGTCATTTCAAAGAAACTGGTCTCTAGTCAGATGCAATGATTAACTCAGAACCCAGTAGTTAATCACTCTGAAAATTTTCATGTTGACACTTTAAATTTAGGCAACTCTGCATTTACTAACACTCAGGTCATCTGCTTTTCATTGGGGATAATTTAGCTTCATTTAAGAGCTTGTTTGAGTATTAGTTACTGAGGATTTAGTTTAAAATTAATAATGATGTCCATATAATTTAATATCCAATTTAATTTTTTAAAACCTTAATAGACTAAAAAAATTTAAAATAAGTATACTCATTATCCATTCCAGTGATTCATTTAAGACATACCAACTATAGAATATGAAAAATAAATTCAGAAGTGTAATTACTTTAAAATACACTACTTCCACTTCTGTCAATATTATACATTTATGTATATATTCTATAGTGGAAGCAGAAATTCTCTCTAAAAACATTATCTCCTTAAAATCTTGAGATGCATATTAGAGCTACAGGCAATATCTGACATACAAAATTGCAGTACAGGCCTTTCAAATTTGGCATTTCACTGGTACAATACAATGAATAGGTATATATCTGTACAGTGCCTAGACATTCTAGTAAAAGCCATTATTTTCTTTAATGTAGAATGATTAATTCATATTCTACAAGGGGCAGTGAGGTTAGTAATTCTATAGGGTATGTCCTGACATAATTTTCAAATTGTATAATAACACAAACAACTTTGTTAAGGCCATGTTTTATTTGCTGATTAATGGACAAAAGGCAATGTAATTTATTTTCAAGTATTTTCTTGAAAGTCTGTGCTCATAAAAATCATGAAAAGTTGGAAAGACTGTTAAATCACTGAAACTTTAAATATATCTTACACAATCTTGTTTGTACAAAAATACAAGTTAAATATAAACATAAAGCAATCATGATAATTTTATGCAAATCTGTTTTATGTGATCTTTAGTTATATATAAAAGTCTCGGTTCTGTTATTTGTGAAAAGATCAATACCAGATTGAGTTACTATCTATTGGCAAAGGGCCCTAAAAAGCTTACTTTAGCAGTAATCTTTTACATGGTTATGTGCATTTCCTAATTTGAGATCACCTAAACACTGGAAAAAGAGGAGAAGGAGAAGGAGAAGGAGAAGGAGAAGGAGGAAGAAGAAGAAGAAGAAGAAGAGGAGGAGGAGGAGGAGGAGGAGGAAGAAAAGGGCAGTATGTCCATAAACCAACAAATAATTTGGCTATAATGTATCATAAAACACAAAGAAACCCCACACATCTGTCCAATAAACATTATGTATTACATACATACAGGTGTATACATGCATGCACGCATGTACACACACACACACACACACACACACACACACATTCATGCGCGCTTGCTTGCGCACACACATGCACACACCCAATCGTAAAACAGCCTAATGAGGTGCTGCTTCCAGTTCAATATTCAGCTGTGCATTTTTTCTTACTTCATCAAATGAACAGCTTTTTGTCACCTTCCCGTTCTTGAATACAGTATGGAAAAGATCTCCTTTTCCTTCCTCAAGTGTAACAAAATTCCCTGCTGGTGTCCTATGTAAAGATGATCGGCCCTTTTTGGACATTTTGTTGGGATCAGCAACTGGGTCCTTGAAGACATTAATCCCAAGGCGATTAGTTACAACATAGCGACACTTGAAGGAACAATTCAAGAGATCTCTTGTTAACTTCTGTAGCAAAGCTCCACCAGAACCAAAGGAAACATTTTCAATACTCCACTTTTTTTATTTCATGCCTTCTACGATCTCTTGTAAGGTGTTAATATCTACTACATCCCCTTGGATAACTCTAAGATAAGTTGGCAGCAACTTGTAGCCCTTTGAGTTCTCAGTAACAGGAAACTTCTTACCTAAAATATCCAAAACCTTTAATACAGTGTCAAGAGGATTTCCAGAATCAGGTCTGATTATTAGTGGTGCCTCTGTACTTCTTGATACTATTAAATGTCTTAGATCTTCACCCCATATTTTTTCACACGCATTATAAATGTCATAGCTATC